TATCTTATACCTATTAGAGTAAGACCTTAATAAAGTATACATATTAATATTTGCTAAGATTTTACTATATTCCAGGTACTATGCTAGATTGCTTATGTGTGTTTTCTTGTTTGTCACAACTACTCTGTGAGGCTAAACACTTGTTATTGCCCTTTATGAACCAATCAGAAAACTAGGACTGGAAAAATTTAAGGTCACATAACTTGCAAACAGCAGAGCAGGGATCTGAACTCAAGTCTTAACTAGGAAGTAAGGCTCAGAATGGTCCTGTTTGCTGCATCCCTTACACAGAGATTTAAGTGTATGATATCTTCCGTATATGTGTTCTTTGACACAATGAAAAGAAGACTGATGTTAGAAAAAATTAGTGTGTCTAACAGTTTCAGGGTATGTAATCAAGAAGTCACTGTTGGAATTTAAGATCAAGAACTTAATCAAAGTTCTAACTTGTGACAACTGTTCACATGCATTTACTAAGATTTGAAATATGACCTCACTGGGCCTGTTAGGAAAACACTTTTGCAGTTAACCAGAATATCCACTCACTGCAGAGCCATTGACACCTAAGCAACATTTAGGTGGCCAAATATGTGCTCTCACTTGCCCTACAACTGTTGAGAATGAGAACTGGAATAGAAATTATGATTTCCATATAAAAGATGAGAATTAAATTCCAACAACCATTAATGCAGTGGATCCACCGTGAGATCAAAGAATCTCCATGGTATATTGAAAGAACACTTGGACTAGAGTTCAAATCCAAGCTGTGTGACCTTTGGCACATCAGCTAACCTCTCTGAGCCAGTTTTCTCATCTCTACAATGAAGAGAATGATATCTACCGCACAGTATTTTTGTAAGATTAAATATCAAGTATAAGCTGAAGATAAAGCCAGATCCTGCCAGTATTCATATAAAATGATAAGGTCTTACAGGTTGGCTTCTAGCATGAATTGGCAATGTGCTTTGGAAAGGCATCATTGGTGTCTTAACCACAAATTCTTCCATTACATGGAAAGAAGTTGAGAGACTAAAAGGTTTGAGTCTGTACTGAACCAGAACCCAGTTCTCAGTTCTCTGGGTTCTTGACTGGAAACCTTCACACCATCTCCATCATGGTAATGGGGACACATTTCTCATCTTTTTTTTTTGCCTTCTCCCCACTCTCAATTTAAAGGTGATCACATTCCACCTAAAACCTACAACAGCCCTGTTTTCCCTGCTTCGTTTTAAAGTTCTCATTCCATCCCTCAGAAGATCCCATTTAAATCCCTCCAGTGTAGGTAGACATGGGGTCCTGTGTCTGACACCAAAGGGCTGTTATCCAGAGAAGAGATCTAAATCATTTAGGGGTAGAGCTAGGACTGATGAGGTGGACTTAGAAGGAGGTTCCAACTCTGCATATGGAATATGTTTGCAACGGTGGCTGCTGGCAGTTACGGGACAAGCTTCGAAAGCAGTAAGCACCCCACCGAGAAAGCTCAAGCTGAACATCTCACCTGCTGCAGCCTGACTGACCCTAACATCCAATCCTGTTAGTCAACACTTATTGAGTGCTTTCTACATGCCAGGCGCTTGGAAAACAAGCATGAGTAAGACACAGTCCTCGGCTCTCAAGGGCTCATAGTGGGGAGACAAACACATAAGCAGGTAATTATAAAACAGTATGGTAAGTACAAAAATAGAGAAAGTATAGGGGCACTGAGAGGCGGATCTAACTCAGGAAGTGCACCTAACTCAGGTGGGCAATTCTTTCTGGAAGAAGTGACACTTCGGCAGTTTTAAAGGATGGAGTAGGGGAGGAGGAAGTGAGGGGCAAGATGCGGGCAGTGTAGACAGGGCATTAGGGGCAAAAGGAATCAGCATGCGCAAAGAAACAGATGTAACAGTATGGTTTATGACAGGCCCTCTGGGGAACTGGATAATGCTAGAACCTAACATGTGAGGGTAGGGAGAAGCAAGGTGGGGCTGGAGCCAGGAGCCAGGGCATGGGCGCCTTGTAAACTGCATTCTGCAGGATGTACTTTGTTCTGTAGGTATGGGGCAGCCAACACCTTAAAGGTGTTAAGGATGAGAGTGACTCAGTTTCTATGATCTTCAATTTCGATTTAGGAGGGTTTTTTTTTTTTTTTTCAGAGGGAAACTGCAAGAACAGCCGTGAAAGCTGCTGAGTTGGCCTTTGGGAATCCCAGGGCAAGTGCAGCCCTGCCCAAATCATTATTGAAGGTAAGCTCCTTTGGTATCCGACCTCTTCCTCCCCTGTGTGCCAGGCCTCTCGGTAACGTTCACCTCATAAAAAGGTGATGTGGACATAAGACGACTCAGCATTACAAAGCGCTCTGAAGCAGCCAGAAGTCCAGACTGAGCCCTGGGCTTCTTTCTGCAGTGGGGACCTTGGCAGTGAGGCAGGCCTCCGGGAGCAGGCAGCAGGGCGGTCAGGTTGGCTGCAGCGTGCGCCACAGCCTGCCGGCATCTCATCTTGCCGCTTCTGCTCCCACCCCCCTCCCCTGCCTCACTCCTAATACCCTCTGACTCCTGGATGACTTCACCTGAAGTTGGGGTGGCAAAGAAAGCGGACAGGGGGACATAAGGCCATCACGCAGAAAAAAGCATCAGCCACTGTGACCATCCCGACCTCCCTCGCTGGGAACTCCGGCTCCTGTACTTTCCCAAAACGCTGTATGTCTCAACCTCTAGAGCGACCATTTGGAACTACTGCCCCCTTCCTTCCCCAACCTCTTTTATGTCCTTAGTCCCATTTCTCATTACTCGTCCACCCCAGGGGCCCAGGCTCTCCACTGCCTACGTGATGGTTCTGTCCACTTCCTCTGCCAAACCTTCCTCCTTTTGTGACTCCTTCAATAACTGCATACATGACTCTGCCTCCCTAAGCCCTCCTTGATTATGTCATCATACCTGACCCCTCCCTTCCACTTTTCCCCGTCATTCTGAACACATGAGTAGACTGCAATCTATTCAATTGCACAGTTAGATGCTCCAGCCACTCCCCACACGCTGATGCCTGAATCTGCATTTCTCACTTGTGATGTTCCCTCTACTTGGAATGCCCTTGTCTTCCTGTCTCCATTCTGAACTCCCCTCATCCTCCAGGCACAGCACAAATGTCATCTGACCCTAAGGCTTTCCCTTATCACCTCCAGGACAGATTACATCTAATAGGACTTTGTTTACCTTTAGTAAGTGATGGGCTTTTGCTCATGTCACAGTAACAGCTAGTACTTAGGGGCCAGGCACCTCTCAGAGAACTCAGTATATAATAACTCATTTAATCCTCAGAACCACCCTGTTATCTCCAAGCTTACAGCTAGTCAGTAGAGGAACTAAGACATAAACACACACGCATGGCTCCTGATCACCAACTCTCCACCCAGCATGCTTCACCTGCAGACCAGGAAGCCAAGTTCAAGAGCTACATTCTGTTCTGGTACTCTAAGTGCCTAGCGCACAGCAGTGATTACTAAATGTGTTCTGAATTTAAGTGAAATTTGTTTCGCTTGCGTTCCCATGTCTTCCTCACTTACAGGTTCTTCCTCCCCAAGGCATCCATGCGATCTTCAAGGAGAAGGACCAGATCATCTGTGTTATTCCACAAGCCCATAATCACAATGCATAATGAGCTGGGGAATAATCAAAGAACTCCAGGGGTGCAGATGGGGGCAAACTAATTTTAGATTAATATATGTCTTAGGTGTGCACAACTGACAAAGGCTTTTTCACATGCTTGATCTCATAGGTCCTGACACCAACAGGTGAGGCAGGTGGAATGGATGTGGAGAAGGTAAGGAGACTAAGGTGCAGATAGCTTGAGACCTAGCCAAGCTCTCAAGAGCTAGAAATATCTGAATGAGATCACAGAGATTACAACCCAGGGTTCTGAATGAAGCAGCTGAAAGTGGGTCTCCTGTTCACCCATGTGTTTCTGATCAGCTGTGGCCATCAGGAATAGCCAGCTGAGTTGGTCAGCTCCTCCCCCAGCTAGGGTGGCCTCGGCAGGTGCTGTGGCAGGTGGGAGGCTGGTGAGAGGCAAGAGCTGGCCAGAGGGAAGGCTGGGTGTTCTAGAGAGGAGGCAGGCTGAGCAGAGGTGGGGCAGGATGTGTTAAGTCAAGTTCAGCGGGGCCTCTGGGGGCCTAAGTGTTTGGTCACCCTCACCAGACAGGACAGAACACCCTGAGAGATTACATAATGTCCAAGTGGTCTGATAATATAAAGAGTCAGGAAAAACTGGTTTGCCCATTCCCTCAATTGGAAGTAGTCAATGTTTCCCTATCATTTGTAATTATCCCATTGCATTTCTAAAAATCTATACCTTTATTTTATTGTCCTAACTCAACACACTACAGACCAAATTTACTGGATATCGTGCATAGATGGGAAGGGTTTTCAGGTGCAGGCAGCCTCTGCAAAATGGAAGCTTTTCTAACAGAGAGGGCAGTGAACTTATAGCCAAAAGACATATCCTAGCTTACCAGCTGGGTGGTCTTCCTCAAGTCTCTTCACCACCTCCAGGCCTTGAACTGCTTTTTTTGCAAAATGGGCATGAAAATGCCCACGCACCTACCCCCTGCCCCCAAATTGTGGCAATGACCTACTCCAAGGCCTATGAACTCCTAGGCTAGGCTTTCTGCTGAGATGAATGGTCTCCTGGGTCTCGGTCTCACGATCTTCACTATTCAGGAAATGAATGAGACACTGCAGATGTCTACACTGAAATGTAGAGAGAACCACCTCCCACTGGGGACCTCCGTCCCCGCGGCTTAAGTGAAGGCTCACAGATCGCTGAGCTCCAGCGGTGGCGTTGACAGGGGCTGGCGAGGTACGCTGTAGCTCCGGGGGCTCAGTGGGGTGGATCCGAAACCCGCCTTTCCTGACTTTGCCCCTGAGGGCGTGGGGGCTGCCTTTTCCCGCCCTATCCCTAGCGGTAGCTGCAAAGCGCCCTTGGAGGCCAGCCCAGCGCCCAGGCTGGGAAACCACCCTGCTTACCTGCGGCTCCACCAGCCAGCGCTGCTCAGCGTCGCCGGGCGCCAGGCGCGGGGCGCGGAACGCCGAGTACACGGGGATGCGGTCCCGGGTGCTGTACAGGGTGGCGAAGCGCTCAGTGCCCTCGGAGCGCTGACAGATCTTCACGTGGCCCTCGGCCGCCAGCCCCGCAGGCGGGGTCTCGGCATAGAAGAACTGGTCACATTCTCCAAAGCCGGGGTCCTCCTCGCCCACGAGCCGGCCTTCCAGCAGCGTGCCCAGGGCGAGGAGGCTGCCCAGCGCGAGCCAGCGCGCGGGGCCCATGGCGGCCTCTGCGAGCGCGGGGCGGCCACAGCGCGGGCTCTGCGGGCTCTGCGGGCCGGGCGGGGAGCTCGAGGCCGCGAGCGCGGCTGGGAGGGGAAGTCGGAGCCCCGGCGCGGAGCTGCTGGGCGAGCGCGCAGCTGGGCCAAGCTGGGCGGCCCTGGCGGCGGGGGCGGGTCCACGTCCCCAGGCCGCGCCTTCTGCGCACTTTCCCTCCCTGAAGATGGCTGCAGAGGCCTACTGCTGGGGCCGGGGGATGCTGACAACGTCTCTCGCGCTGCAGCCGGGCCTGGAGACGCAGGGCACCTGCCACAGCGCCGCCTCGTCTCCGCAGTCCGCGGGAACGCGCGCTCCGAAGAGTGGAAGATTTGAGCAGAGTCAGCCTAATCCGAGGGACTGGGAAGGGACGGTCCCCTGGGCTGCGCGCCAAGAATCCTCCGGAGCCAGCGCGCCCCAGGGACCCTCAGGAATGCAAAGGGGCGGTGTGAGATGCTCGGGGAACTGTGGGTCTCCCTAGTGGCTGGGCAGAGACCTCCTCTGAAATCCAATGAAAATTAGTCTTCTCTCCCAACGAAATGCTCAACCGCCTGCACAGGAACACAACTTTGATGCCGCTTTGGCACATCAGAAACCGGGAGACCCAAGCTAAGAAATCCTGTTACAGGAAGTTCCTAACCTAGACACACAGAACAGCCCTTGTGGTTTATTTGGTGCAAAGCTTAGAAACAAAACCAATACTAAGAAAACAAGAACACCAGCCAACATCGTTGGTTGATAGGCTGGTTGATTCATTGCTTCATTTATCCCACTGAGTGCCTACGTGCCAGCCTGGGTCAGGTGGCAGGGTACAGTGGTAAATAAGGCCAGAGTCCCTCTGGTCATGAAGATGACAGCCTAGTGGGAAAGCTTGTCATTAATCAAAGAAGCATACTATTAAAGGATTGATTAAACACTGAACATGGATGACATTAACTGGGCAAGCTGCTCTGTCTTCGAAGAGGGAAGAGTAATGCTAGGAGCTTTCATGCAGCCAATGAGTTCTGTAACATTGACTTCATGCTATATAGAGGTCCATTCCAGTGCAAGACTGGCATAGACCTTTTTACCACAGAACTTGAAGTTGGTAGGAAAGACAGACAGACAGACGGACAAGCAACTACAATATAGTGTGAAGGAAGTACTGTGTGTTATGAGGGCAGATAAGGGTCACCTAGGCTAATCTGGGGAGAAGCTAATCTGGAAAGACAATGGGAATGGTAGAAAATCACACTTAATGATAACATACGTTGAAACAGTGGCTCATAAACTAGAATAATAATTTCTAGGTGCCTGAAGCTACATTTTTGGCTTTCCTATCTGTAGGTTGTCTAGCGTGTGCATGTAATTGACAAATAATAAGTAAATTAACCCCCTCTAGATTACTAGGAGAGGAGAGGAGGCTGAGGAGTAGAATGCCTGATTTATTTTCCTAATAGTGACTGAACCTAAGAAAGCATACCTGGCTCAGATCCTCTAGTGAGAGGCAGAAGGCCTCTGAGTTAAAAAGGCTGTTGACACCCAGGCCAACAGGAGGCTGAGTCATGCTCAACTGAAATTGTGGGCAGAGCTGTCTTCTTTCTAGCAAAGTTACACTTTGGATGATGTCTAAAAGTAATATTAGACAACTTCAGTGCCCCTAGAAGTGCACATGTGTACACATACATACTCTGTCCCCATTAGACTGCACTAAAAAAGACACCTGGTCCAACTACTAGACGCTTCTGGGGTGTTCAGCTGTCTTTTGGATATTTGTCCAGATGTTAGAGAATTACTTCAGACTGGAATAGCTTTGAATCCTTCATGCAGAGAAATATTTGAAATAATTTTTCCAATATGCCTCAATAAAAAATAAATTAATAACATTTAAAAAAATAATTTTTCTGAAACTTTTTTTGGCTTTCTATATATATATAGGGAAAAGAGTGTAGTGGTTATGAGCTTGAACTCTGCAGTCAGACTGTCTGGGTTCAGTGCTGTCTCCTTTTATTGGCCATGTGATCTTGGGCAAATTATTGAGTCTCTTCATGCCTCAATTTTCTCATCTATAAAATGAGGATAATGAATCTACCTCCTAGTGTTGTTTTAAGTTTTAAATCATTCATATGCCATGTTTCGTTGATTCTAAGACATACATTTTTTTTTTTTTTTACATTTTAATATCTCTGAAATTGGAGAGACTCCCAAGCGTCTTCCCACCAACCTTAATTCAGCTCAACTTCTGGGCCCAAAAGGAGTTTATTCAAATAACAAACATGCAGACATGAGTAAATATTGTATATTTAGAAAAAGGAATAAAAAAGCTTCCCTGGCTTTCTGTTTCTTGCTGATTGCATGTTCCCTTTTAAAATGCATTCAGCTGTCAATGTAAGAATGTACCACATTGTTTTAAACTTCCACACTTTATCTTCAATTAAAAATGAATTACAATTCTTAAATTATTCTTTTGAATAATTTTTAAATTTTTCATCTGTATATTTTTACTTATCTAGAATATATATTGCCTTTGTATTAAGAAAGTAAAAAAAAAAGAAAAGAAAAAAAACTTTTCAGAAAAAAAGGAAACTTTTTGTTAAAGTGCTATTAACATGTTTATAGTAGAAAGAAAAATTAGGAAAGTAGAAAAAAAATTGTATACATCATGATCACACTGTGTGAACATAGGCAAAGGATAATAGAAAACTGAGAAGGGTTCAATAATTGTCTGTGTATGATAGAATAAGTAAAATTATCTTATTCTATTTTTATATATTTAAAATTTTATACAGAGAAACTATCTTGGAAGAGAGAAAACCAAAGTACTTTTTTTAAAAACAAATAATATTAAAGTCAGTTGAAGTTGGAAACCACTGTAAGTATACATTTTAGAAAAAGTCTCAGGAGGCTTTCATTTTCACTAGTTGTTCACAGATCACTAAGTCATTCTACCTTACGCTGCAAATACGAAATGAAGGTTCTGAGGAAGCAAGATGACCAAAATCTACCTTCTCAGGTATGGATAAAGTGCTTGGCTTGGCTCTCTTGCCCAACCTATATTAATATTACTTAACATTTGTCATAGTCCTTTCAAGCTGAAACAAAATGTCATAGACTGGGTTGCTTAGAAGCAACAAACATTTATTTCTCACAATTTTGGAGGCTGGGAAGTCCAAGATCAAAGCACCGACAGAATCAATGTCTGGTGAAAGCCCACTTCCTGGTTCATAGACAGGCATCCTAACACTGCAGAAGGAGCAGATGAGCTCTCTGGGGTCTCTTTTATAAGGGCACTAATCCCTTTCATGAGGACTCCACTCTGACCTATCACTTACCAAAGGCCCTACTTCTAAACACCATCACACAGTAGGTTCCAATGCCTGAACTTTGGGGGGACACAAACATTCAGTCTATGGCAGTATAACTGAAGACAACAGTCTGCTCAGTGGGTGAAGGAAGTCTGTTTAAATTAAGTAGATGGTCTCTTTCTTCCAAATGCTGATGTGGATGGAGGAGAAACTTATTCACCCATTCAACAAACACTGAATGCACCCCTTCCCCCTATGGGCCAGGCTCAGTGCTAATTGCTGGGGACACAGAGTGAATAAAATATGGACTTGGCTGTCCTGGAACTCAGTCTAAGGTACCAGGTCATCTCTATTTTAAACACTGAACTTTAAATATTTATTTCAGAAATCCATCTGCCCAAGTATCTATTCCATTGCAACTACTTATGAGTTTAAAACAATTGCTGTTTGTCACTAAAAAATAATTAAGGAAAATATTCAGTCCTATCTCTACCTATGTGTGTCTGTCTTAGTCTGCATGTAACAGCATATGCGAATTGTAAAAAAGCTCCAAAAGTGCAGATAAATGGAAAAAGCACAAGTTTGGGCATCAAGAGACTTTGGTTTCAATCTGAGCTCCACCACTTACAAGCTATTTGAGCTCTCTGAACCTTAAATCTCTCATCTGCAAAATGGCAATAATACCTACCTCATATTGTTGACATGATAAATTAAATAACCAATATGAAGCACCTAACCTATAGCAAAACTCAGTAAATACTAGCTCATTTCTTCCATAGAGTTCTTCTATAGGTCAGTGGCCAGACTTTCATTTAGGGAAAAAAATTATAAACGCACAATTACAAAAATCTGGAAATTATGACACAGGTATTTTAGGGCTCTGGCTTTATTTTCAGAAAGATTAAACTCAGTTTATAGAAAGGGTAGCTGCAAGATTCAACTTGACAATTGATTCCAAATCAAGGCAGCATCTTTAGGGCACAGAACCTTTCCAGCACAACCCTCCTGAGAGCACAAGACCCTCCTGGATCCATTGGTTTCAACCAAGTCTCAGCTCACCTTCTGATGCATTAGCACTGGAATCATTGTGGGCTTTAGGACAATGTCTGTTACCATTTGGCATGTGTAGGAGGCAACACAGTCAGATAAATAAGATCTCTACCACACTGTACACAGTAAACTTCCACAAGGGTTCAGGCAACTAACTAAAAATTTGACACACACAAAAAGCATATTCAGTAGATATTAAGAAACACTTAAATTATCTTGCAGAAGTGAGATGAGAGCATTCTGAAGACAAGGGAGGGGCAAAGAAAGTCCCAGCGTTTCATGCTAGGACGTAGGAGGTTCATTGTATATAACCACCCTCCTCTGATTTGTCCAAAACAGCTTTATTTTATTGAGAAAAGTGCAAAGGAGCAGAAAGAACCACGACATTGGTCACGTTTATTGAACTATTTACTGTCCCCCTAGACTTGCTATCTGGTTCCTCTGGGTCCTAATTTTGGCCACCAGTGGTGACTAGATAGATGACTTGTCATTTTCACCACAGACCTGGGCTTACTGTTTGTCTCCACATGAAGATGCCTCCTCTTGACGCTTCCCCAAGAGCTCTTCCTACATTTCCAAAGGCATCTAGACTGTGACTCAGTTCCTGGGTCTCTCACAGCCCTGTCTCCCTCACCTTGCCTAACACAGTGGGAGCCCCCTGCACCTTGCAGCAAATCCTGCTATTAAACTTGCTGGGCATTTGAGGCTTTTGTCTTTGCTTTGTTAATCTGCTCCACATGTACCCAGAACCCAACAAAGAGAGCATCTGTTGTGAATCTAATATTAGCAACAAGCACAAGTCACATCATCTTATATAAAGAGAATATTGAGGGAGAAACACTCGGTCACTAGGAGAGATATGTCAGCACGAAACAAGGAGCTCTGTCAAATGCTGGCTGTCTGTTTGTTATTCGGGGAGGGAGGCGGGTTAGAAAGGGAGAAAATGGAGAGTATAAATCCTTCTTTCTTTCCTTCTAATCTGCTGTCCTGGGGAAATACAACACATTCGGCCCAACTCCTG